TAATCGACTGTTTTGTAATACTCCAAACCTCATTGTTTTTGTTATCCAACAAGGGTATTCATTGATCGATTTTGAATGTTGTTTAAATAATTGACTGTTTGTTAGCAACCTCCGATATTCAAGGGATTTTGTTGGACACAACCTGTTTTAAGGACACCTTGTACATATAGTCAGTTGGGGAGATTATATTGAAAATATAATTTAGATTAAATAATAAATAATAAAAATATTGTTAAAATTAGAGTGTAGTTTAGTTTGAAAAAAAAATTAAATAAATTTCCAATCTTAAATCTATCTTAAATTTCAAATTTCAATAAATTTAAACTCAGATCTCAATTATGATATTTCAATAAATATCATTAGTACCTGGAACTTATGATGTTTTTTAGCTCAATGTAACCATTTTATTGTTAAACATTTAAAATATATTGTAAAAAAATCAAGAACATCCAATTAGATTCCGGTAGAACTAATTGATACTCATTAGGAATATAATATGTGGTACTAATTGATACTCATTAGGAACTAATTAATTTTAACAATATTAGGAATACGCATTCTTATTTGTTGGTTCTACCCGACGGATTTTTTTTGGATTTGATTCAATGGTTGAATCTTGTGGAGTTTTCTTTTTTTATCAATAATATAATTTTCTAAGAACTGGGTTTGCTGCAATAGGAAGATTCTTTTGAGTAATGTTTCAATAACTCGATGACTAATTCTCATATATCAAGAATTAAAATGCAGCTTTTTAGAATGTAATAATCATGGCATATTAGTCATGAATGTTGATGGACAATGATAACCCAGTCAAAATGGCCATCTACTCTATAGAATCTTATATCTACACCGTTGATCGACGTCTCTTTCTTATTTTGTGAGATAACCTCTAGTAGCCATATATTTACACATTCATCGTATCTCCCCTTAGGTAAATATTAATATATGTTTCCTTGATTGCTAATATGCATTTTTTATTTTGTTGGTTTTAGTTACCTTTTTGCCATATTTTATGCATTGATCTTTGTTCCGATGTAGTGATAAAGAAAGATTATGCGATGCAAAATATGGCTATTTTCTGCAGATAGTTTTCAATCTATTTTCGGCGTCTTAACTTTCACTACCTCTGTAGATGGTGTTATATACGGGGTTAGTATCTACAACTATGCAGTAGTCGCTGCACCTGACATCCGCCACGTCCTTATTTACTAACAGCCTCATAATTATCGACTTGCCAGCACCATTTCTGAAAAGTGAAAGACGTGTAATTTTTTTTCCTTCTGGAAAATAAAGATCTCTAGAGATACATTCACAGAGTTGTTGTAGGGTGGAATTGAATGGAATTGAAACGTGCCAGGTAATAAACCCTTGATAATTGTTGTGCTCCTCCCAACTAAAATCGCGGCTAACAATGATCGCATAATGTTCCCGCATTGATTGATTTAATTCTTGAAAAAATGTAAAAATAAAATGGGTGGAGATTAATGATACATTGTGTAAGAATATTAAAGAAACACATGTATTTTGTTTGAATCATGTATGTAGATTTGGTGGTTTAAATTTTGTGGAAATATTTTAGGAATTATATAGATTTTGTGGTTTAAATTTTGCGGAAAGATTTTAGGAATTATGTAGATTTTGAGTCTATAATTAGGGACCGATTTAAGGGGATGTGGGAGGCCTAAAACGTGGATGGGTAAAATGGAGAAAGATTGCAAGAGCAATATGGACATGAAATGTGTGGAGAGATAAATAAGGAATTATATACTCCCCAAATTTTAGGAAATCAATTTTAGCCGATTTAAAAAAATTTGGCCATTTTGCTTAACCTGTGAGTAGTCATTTCTACATAAGTATTTGGGCCAACATGGAATGGTTTCATAATGGGTTTTGGGCCTGAGCCCATTTTCTCTTCAAAATAATGGATCCTATCAATATCTTGAGCCATGGAGCTTATCCATTCTGGGCTTATTTAATTTTATATTTTAAACTTTTTTGAGATTGTCAACTTTTTAATTTTCTGACATAAAAGATCCATAATGTGTTTTTATTTTTTATTTTTTTGACGCAGCAAGAGACTTAATATTCAAAGAGAATATATAAACTATGATATGGTTGATCATTGGTGTATAAAGAAAATTCTGAAAGTGTTTCAACTAAATCAGTATTGTATTAGTCAAAATAACTCTCACGTTGAAATCAAAATCAAATGTGTGATGGCCAAAGGATACGTAGAAAATTGAGCAAAATTTTAATATTATTTGAAAAATGCAAACCTCGGATGATTATAAAAATCTCTATTTATAAGGAGAAGTATTTGAATGTTATAAAATCTCGTGAAAGTAGGATCTCTTATCATGATTTTCTATTCAAATAATCTCAATTTGACGAAAGTATTTAAAATGATACGAAACTCGTTAGAGACAAGGTCATGTGTAGGCTTCTATGTGACAACTAAAATCAAGTAGTGCACCTGACTCGAGCCAAGGAGACTACATAATAAGCAGAGATTGGTACCATACGTAGGTTGAGCCAAAATGATTCGGGAGATGTAAAGTAATATCAATCTTATTTAAGTACTGAGACATTTTAACAGACATAGTGAAAGTGAAAATGTGCGACCTAAAGATTATCTAGTCCAAGTCTTACTAAACTAACATGTATCACAACGGTTATGAGGGTAAAACTGAGCGGCCACGTGTTCAATACACAAGAGGCATGTCAATCTGGTGACGTCAACTCGACCGAACAGGCGTGAGCCAGGTTGGCCTTGTCCGACCATTATGGCCATCAGCGCACGTTGAAGGCGAAATTGATTGTGCGTAGTCAGCGCCCACTGTCAGATTAGCCATCGTCGAAATTAGGGGATGAAATCTCGACCTTCCTTACCAAACCAATGTTGAACATCGAGCACATACAAGAAAGCTAGCTGGGTATATGTTACCCAAGTATGTTCAAATCCCTTCTTAATATCCTACTTATCTTCTAACCACCATTGTTGACTTTAGCATCAAAACGCTCACTCCTGTTTTGTAAGTCATCCATCTAGCAGAAGAGATAAGTTTTATTGCTTAGGGAG